CAGACGTGTGCTCTTCCGATCTCCCCAAAACCCCAAAACCCCAAAACCCCATGAGTTTCATTTAATCGTAATTTGAGAGTTATTATCAAATTAATGAAATAAATAGAAATAAAATTTTGCAATTCCCTGCCAATAGGTTGAAAACTGATAATCATTTTGTTAACTTATTGTCAATGGATGGACTCTCTCCCATATTTCTAGGATATTCTACTTTCTCTTTCTTAGTATCTCATTTTATTTCCTTTTTTTCTGTTTATCTATTGCGAGTCTTATTCTTTCAAGGAATCCTCATGTATAGAACCAAATTATAAACTATCTTAAGCTGTGGGTGAAGCATTATACTAGGTCATTCGCTGAGATCCAATAGTTGAATTTTAATTCTATGTGCCCACAAAGCTCCATTTAAACTTCTTATTCTATGTTAGATTCATGTATACATCCCCTCTCTCCATAGCTTTAAATCTAAAACAATTTATTACAAACTAGATTAACACTTACGCTCCCTCCTTTGGACTGTAACTAACTGGCTTGTCAAAGTACTCTTTGAAGTGGGGATGAACTTTTTGATTATCTTTACTTTACATTTTATGGAAATGATGATCCCAATTCTTAAACTTTGGACTCTAAAACTCTTCAATCATTGAGAGCTGATAATTCTTGACTTAACTATGCTCTCTAAATATATTAATAGGAGTTCTCTTGCTTGGCTTATCAAAGAAGTTCTGTAAAAATAAAATGATACAAATACACTTACTCTATAATAGTGATGAGATCTGGTGAGATTATCCAATGAAGTCTTGACAAAGGATTCGTCCCATTAAGGTTTATTCAATGGCTACAGCATTTGCTTGTTCCCTTTCATAGTCTTATGATTTGGGTACTTCGTTTTGGAGTGTTACTGTTAATTTAGCATACTGTTTACTACTCTAGGATCCATTGGTTCTATACTTGGGTTGATAGTTAAAAACCTCGACTATGATGGTCTAACCTATGGTTCTATTACTCTTGACCTATATAATATAAATACAGAAAAGTTTACTCTCTCAAGGGTCCAAGAATATCTGATTTGATTGCTGGATAGTTCTTTTTATTAGGTGAGTAAAACGTTTTATTTGTAGGATTGTTTATTTTACTTAAATTACTCTATTTCGATGTTTAATTAGTAAGTTGATTTGAAGTGTTATCTATTGTGCCTTTTTTGCTTTACTGCTTATAATCTATTGTTACATCGCGGGAAGTAGCTTAAACTGGTACAAAGAAATCAGAATCTTTGAACTAACTCAAGGTAAGACTTTCATTATCATTAAGCTGATTATTATTTGATTCCTAATCTAATTTTATTTGAGTCTCAACGAAAATCTAGCCGACACTTTTCCCGTCTAAATTCAAAGCATAGTATCCACCTCTTCCCTTATAGTCTTATCCTAGGAATTCATTCAATGCAAAAGCCAAAGCTCCTAATATAGTGCCTACATTATTATTCACTCTATGATCATCTGTCCTTTGGTAAACCTAAATCAAAGCCAGCTTATAAAAGTTGTCTTCATTTACAAGGAGATCGAAGTTATAATTCCAATTAGTGGAACTTCCCTTTATTCTCGATGCATCACTTAGATATTTTTTTGAGTTTATTTCAAATACAGCAAATATATCTGTCGTTGCAGCTATCTCAGCAGCCTAGTTCAAGGTAGAGGTCTTGATAGAGAATTGATAAGTTTTAGGTTAGAAAATGTTATTATGCATTAAAAACTATAATGAAATAATTATTATTCCTAATTATTATACATTCTAAAAGCATATCACATAAATGTATGTAACCTATGGGGTTTTGGGGTTTTGGGG